ACCCGAACCACGCTGCTGCTGCTCCCAGGTGCTGCGCGGGTGGATAGGAGGCTGAAGGCCGCTCGCGTGTCAAGTGGGGAGCCAGCGAGGACCACCCCTGTGCCTCCCGAGGCCCGAGTGCTGACCCTCCCGGATTCCGTCGTTGCGCCCCACAGACGAAGGGTACCACCTCGTTCGGTCTCCGCCACACCAAGAGCCACACGTACGTCGATACTGCTGTTCTCTGCAGCCGTCAACGCCGCGGCGGCGTCTGGTCGAACCGAGAGCTGACTGCCTCACGCGCCCCGCATGCAGCCTCTGCCGTCGCTGCGGCCGCCGCTCGTTCCACAAGCAGCACAAGTCGTGCGCTTCGTGCGGCTACCCCGCGGCGAAGCTCCGCTCGTGTGCGTCCCTTCGCTGTTGCACTCGAGCACCTCGCGGCAGCCGACTGACCTCCGAGTGACCCTCTTCCACAGACGAGTGGGGCCAGAAGGCCAAGCGCCGCCACACCACTGGCACTGGCCGCATGCAGTACCTGAAGGGCGTCTCGCGCCGTTTCAAGAACGGGTCCGTCTGCGCCCCCCGACTACGCTGCCTGTAACCCCCTCCCGAGCTGACCGTCCCTGCCCCTGCACCAGCTTCCGCGAGGGCACCACCGCCACCCGCAAGGTCAAGGCGGAGTAAGCTCCTCCGTCCTTGTTCGCCTCTCAAGCCTCGTCCCGACCCCCCTCTCTCTCCTCCGCCTCCGCCCCGACTCTTCCCCGCCCGCACTCGTCAATCCTCCTCTCCCGCCCCGGCCCGACCTCCCAAACTCTACACGCCATTCTGTTGGTTGCATCTCTGTTTGCGCTGCGTGTGGAGCGGGCCTCGGAGGGACTCGAGGAGAGTGCGGTGCAGGGAGGACTGGGCGCGCGTGCGCATGTTGCGACGGGTGTGCGGAACGGATGGGGCCGACGAGTCGAAGCGGGATCCGGTGTGGGTTGAAACGGGGTCGTTGTTGTCGCTTCTGTGCGCTGCCTGTCCTCGTGTGAGCTCGTCAGCGGTCCGTCATGTTGCGCCACGACGCGTTGAGCGACGAGGCGAGCCTTGTCGCAGCGCGCCGTCCTCTCTTCCGTCTCCAAGACCCGCTCCCGCTCTGTGCCCCTGTGCGCCGGCTCGCGCGCGCGGATGCCTGCTGCTCATGATGCACCGACGAGCACCTTGACTTCGGACGCTCCTGCTTCTGCCCGACCCAGCGGGTGCGCGCCCTCTCTCGCTTCCCGCTCCCCGGATCGCTCATCTCTCGCGCGGGCGCAACTCGCAGACCCTCGCGCTCAGGCAGCGCCAGCGACTACCTGCGCGACTTCCCCTCGTTCCCTTCGCACCTCTTCACCGCGCAGCCCTCTGCCTCGTCCTCCCCGTCCTTCTCGCCCGGGACCTCCCCTCAACCACCCCACTTCGACGGTTTCCTCCCCACGCCCTCGACGACGGCCCCTCCCACCGGCTCCTCCATCGACTGGACGCACTGCTACGCCCTCGAGCGCGCGCGCAAGGCGCGGCTCGCGAGCCTCCCGGGCCTGCACGGCGTCGTGTCGCGCATGTGGGACGCGGGCAGGCCGTGGGTCGCTGTCGTGCTCGTCGGGGTGCTCACTGGCGCGGTCGCGAGCGGGCTGGACGTCCTCAGTGGGTGGCTGAGCGACTTGAGGATGGGCAAGTGCACCGACATGTGGTGGATGAGCAGGGGGCTGTGCTGCGCCGGGTTGGAGCGTGCGTCTTCGGTCTTCTCTCTCGCGCTTGTCTCGTGGTGGTTAGCTTCGGAGAGGAGGACTGACGAGCTGTGCGTACCCAGCGGGGGAGCAGTGCAGGGCGTGGAGGACGTGGGGCGAGATTGCGGCCAAGGAGGGTCACGTCGTCGCTCGAGCCCTCGCCCAGTACGGCGTCTACATGGTCACAGCGGTGCGCTGCGCAACCACCACCTGGATCAGGCTCCTCGGTCAGCGCGAGACTGACGCTCAAACTGTGTGACCGTACCTCTCGCAGGTCCTCTTCGCGCTCACCTCTTCCGCCTTCGTCAACGTCTTTGCCCCCTTCGCCTTCCACACGGGCATCCCGGAGATCAAGGTCCTCCTCGGCGGATACGTCATGCGCGGCTTCCTCTCGCCCATGACGCTCCTCATCAAGTCGCTTGGCCTGCCCCTCGCCGTCGCGAGCGGGCTCAGCCTCGGAAAGGAGGGCCCACTCGTTCACGTCGCGTGCTGCATCTGTGACCTCGTCTTGCGGCCATTCGAGTCGCTACGAGGCAATGGAGGTGTGCCTGGTCTTGCGCCCGGCTACGCTTGACGCCCTGGTCGCTGACGAGACGAGAACTCGCTCTTGACGCAGCTCGGCATCGCGAGATCCTCTCGGCGGCGGCGGCTGCCGGCGTGTCGGTCGCTTTCGGCGCTCCACTCGGAGGTGTCCTCTTCTCGCTCGGTGCGTCGCGATGCCGTAGCCCTGCCCCTCCTGCTTCGCTTGCTGACGCGCGCCGCCGCCAAACAGAGGAGATCTCGACCTTCTTCCCCGGCTCGACGCTGTGGCAGTCGTTCGTGTGCGCCATCGTCGCCGCCGTCACTCTCCAGTACATCGACCCCTTCAACACGGGCAAGCTCGCCCTCTTCACCGTCACCGCCTCGCAAGTGTGGCGCGGCTTCGAGCTCGTGCCCTGGCTGCTCCTCGGCGTCGCAGGCGGCATCTGGGGCGCGTGGTTCATCCGCCTCAACGAAGAGTGGGAGCGCATCCGACGAGCGAGCGGCTTGAGGGAGTGGCCCGTGACGGAGGTGGGCGCGCTCGCGCTCTTCACGGCCGTCGTGAGCTACCTCGTCGTCTTCATGCGGGTCCCGAGCTCGGAACTCGTCGTTGCGCTGTTCCAGGACTGCAGCGGACCGGATGCCTACGGGCTGTGCGAGTGCGTCCCGCGCCCTTCCTTGCCGGCTCGCCCACGGGAGCAAGGGCTGACCCTCGGAACGCAACGCAGCTCCTCCAACACCTCCTCGATCGTCTTCCTCCTTCTCCTTACCGCCTTTGCCAAGACGCTCCTCACAGCCGCAACCTTTGGCGCCTCGATCCCAGCCGGCATCTTCCTCCCCTCGCTCACCATCGGCGCCTGCGCAGGCCGCGCCGTCGGCCTCGTCATGGACGCGCTGCAGAAGGCGCACCCGCAGAGCTGGGTCTTTGCTGACTGCCCGGCCGACGGAGGGTGCATCAACACGAGTGTCTACGCTGTCATTGGTGCCGCGAGCGCGCTGGGCGGCGTGACGAGGATGACGATCAGCTTGGTGCGTTGCGCGCTCGAGCGCTGCCGCTACCCTCTCTGTCAGGCAGGCAGCTGACAACAACCCGCGATCCAACGTGCAGGTCGTCATCCTGTTTGAGCTCACGGGCGCGATCGACATTGTCATCCAGCTCATGATGGCCGGTGCGTCCCCGTCCTGCTTCGTTGTCCGGCTCTGCCCCGCCCCCGTAACTTACTGTACGCGCGTGCGCAGTTATGGTCGCAAAGTTCACCGGCGACTACTTCTCCAAAAACGGCATCTACGAGAGTGCGTGCCCGTCCCTCTTCCCCTCACCTTTGCCTCGACTGGCTGACAAGCTCCCTCTCCGCCTCGCAGCGTGGATCAACCTCCGCAACTACCCTTTTCTCAACACCAAGCTCGACTACCGACGCGACACGTTCCTCGCGCGGCATGTCATGACGCCCGTGAACGAGCTCGCGTGCGTGACGGACGAAGGGTGGGAGGTCTCTCGGCTCGGTGCGTCTTTCTGTCGCGCTGCCCTCTCTGTCCGGGGACGGTACTGACACTGTACGGCGCTCACACGCAGAGGCCCTGCTCGACGAGGAGGACTACCGCGGTTTCCCAGTCGTCAAGACGATGCGGACGCGCGTCATCTTGGGCTACATCGGCCGCGCAGAGCTGTGGGAAGCGCTGAGTATGCCCCATCCTTGGGCTTCCCTCGCCGCTTCGCAGTGATTGACTCGCGCTCGCCGCAACCGCAGACAACCTCCGCCACGTCGGCGAAGTTACGCCCCGCACGCCGTGCTTCTTCACGACCGCTCCGAGGTCGCAGCGGGGGCCGCAGATCCTCATTCCACACGCCAAGTCGCTCAGTGCTTCTCATGCGTTTGGCGCGGACGTCGAGCTCAACGGAGGGAGCGGTCATGAGCTCGACGGGTTGGCGTCGGCGGCGTTGGCGCACGATCCGGCTGCAAAAGACGCGGCGGATGGTCGACCATGGGTCAGCCTCGCCCCCTGGATGGACGAGGTGCGTGTTCCTCCGTCTCGCCTCGATCTCTCGCCCGCGCGTGCCTGACAAGCTTCCTCCGTGTGCTAGATCCCCGTCTGCATGTCGCAGGACACGCCTATGGAGCTCGTCGTGCAGATGTTCCAGCGCATCGGGCTGCGCTTCGTCCTCTTGACGCGGCAGGGCGCCCTCATGGGCCTCTTGACGAGGATGGTGCGCCCCGCTTTCCCCATGTCCTCCGTCCAACCGCCTCACTGACGCACGCCTTCTGCGAGCTCAGGATCTCCACGCGCACATCTCGGACGAGGAGGGCACCGCCGACAAGCCCTTCTTTGCGCGCGGACCGGCTGGTGCGGGCGCGAGCGAGCGCGAGAGGGAGGACCCGCCGCGGCCGAGCGAGGCGGCGCTGCTCGATGATCGAGGGAGCGTCGCGAGCGAGGGGTATAGGTAGACTCTGAGAGGCTTGACTCGACAGTCGCTGCTCGACTTGGACTCCGCAATGGAAGCCGTCAGAGGGAGGGAGTCGCCTCCAGTGGCGAGCGAGAGGGGTCTGGGCAAGTCCGAGGGCGTGCTGGCAGGCTCGCAGTCCTGCAGGATTGAGGCTGGTCCACCCGATAGCAATTGGAGGCGTGAAGGCCCGCCCCGCGGCCCGCAGCGAGGGCAGGGAGGGCAGGGAGGGCAGGGGTGGCCTTCGTGTGTCGGCTGCGAGCCGCAGCATTACCAACGAATCTAAGAGCATAAGCTGGACGCCGCAACAACCAAGTGGCCTGATGGTCTAGAGGCATGATTCTCTCTTAGGGTCTGCGCGTTCAGTGCCTGATCGTTTGGGAGAGGTCCCGGGTTCAATCCCCGGTTAGGCCCACTTTATTCTTTTGCCGCCGTGCTGCTCTTGCGCTGCTCGCTTCTCTTCTCTTCGGCAGGCGAAGGCGGGAGAAGTGAGGACGACAGGCGCCCCCTTGGTCAGTGGGTGCACGCGAGCAGCGCAGCGTGAGCAGCTAGCTAGCCGTGCCAGTTGCGTTGCAACCGGCAGCACGTGTCTCGGCTCGAGTCTGACCTGGCAAAGAACAAAGGCGCGCGAAGGTGAGAGGCAATTGGGAGCGGCCAGAGGAGGCGAGGTAGGTCCGTGCGCGGCGGGGGGCGGCGGACGCACGAGGCGCTTGCGGTGTCCGCGCTTGCCCCCTCGTCTCGACATCGGGCAGAGAGGCAGTCTGACAGAGCGAGAGCGTGCACGTGGGTAGGCTCGTCGACTCTGCCCCCAGACCTCGAGAAAGAAGGCGCGAGTGGTCGCAGCTGGCGAGGGCAGTCGAGTCGCCAACACTCCCGTCGAGGCGACTAGCCCGTCTCTCTCCCTTGCTCCCCTCACCCGCTTTTCACTCGACGCAGCTGAAGATGACACGCAGCGAATCCAAAACGGTAAAGCATGTGGACAGCGAGCCCGAGGAGTGTGCGGCCCTTCCCCTCACCGCCTCTCGAGGGATCCCCTTCGCGGCCCCCACCGACGCACGCGCTCACGCCCTCTTTGATTCTCTTCCAGGGGTCGTCGACGCCATCCTCAAGCACAGGCGCACGGTGCGCTCGCGTCCCGAGCTTGTCCCTGAGCCGCTCTGTGCGCCGCAGCGCCGCGCACGAGAGCGAGGCAGGCGGGTGCTTTCCAGCGCGCGCGCACGCTGACCCACCCACACACCCTCATCCTTTCATCAGGATGGCGTCCTCAAGTACCTGGTGAGCCGGGAGGCGTGCGAGGAGGAGACGTGGGAGCCCGAGTCGAACGTCGGGCGCGAATCCTGTCCCTTTCGCCCCCCTCCTTTTCGAGTTCTGTCGAGCTGACTCTGTGCGGCGCCTATCTGTTTCAGCGAAGTTCAGGCCGTCGAGGAGTACTGGGCCGAGAGCGATACGCCAATCGAGCGCTTCAAGCCGGGCAGCGAGGCGCGCCGTAAAGCGGCCAAGGCCCTCAAAGCTGCCGTTGACCCCACGCCGCCCAAGAAGCGCACGTCATCGGCCCCCGAGGAAGGAACGGAGGTGCTCAAGAAGTGCTCGTGGTCCAGCGACATCGAGGGCGAGGAAAAGGGTGAAGAGCCAGGGGAGCAACCAGACGCGGGCTTGGTCGGGAAGGGCGAGGTCAAGGCACCGCGTCAGCAGAACAACGGTCTCGAGGTCGACGGCAGCTCCAACGAGAGCCAGGGCGACGAGGGGCGTGTCAAGTGTGAGGACTGGGTCTAGCGCAACGGCGAGAAGGAGAGCGGGGAGGTGCGAACCTCGCCTCCCTTGAGCGCGCTCGACACTCTTGCCCGCGCCCCTTTGAACACCCTCTACCACACAGACCGAAATCAAGGAAGTCGAGACGCTCGAGGAGGGACAAGCCTCGGGCGCTGTCCAAGCCCGTCTCGTCTGGCAAGACGACTCGCTCTCGACCGTCGGGCTCGACATCGCCCGCGTCCGGCGCCCGCAGAAGGTGCTCGACTTCATGGTGCCGAAGCTGTCGTGGAAGGCCAGCGTTGATGAGGACGTCGACCAGCTCGCGGCGACACTCTTCGGCGAGAAGGGGAAGGCGAAGCTAAAGAAGGGCTCAAAGGAGGAGCGCCTCATCGAGAGCGGGGTACGTTTGCAAGCTGTCCCTTACCTCGTACACAGCAAGGATGACACGCTCACGCCTCGGGCCACAGACCAAGTCAAGCGAGGTCCAGCAAGCCGTCTTGCTCCAGGCCTGGGACCAGCTGCACAAGCTCGACAAATTCGAACCGCCCCTCCTCTCGCCGTCGCTCACGCCATTGCATCACACGGCTTCTCTCTACTCCAGCATCCGCTCGCTGCGGCCCGGCACGATCGACGCAGACTCCAACACCCGCCTCCTCCATGCGCTCTTGATGCTCTTCCAGCTGGCGTCGCTCGAGACACTCGGAGCAAGTTCCTCGGCGACTTACCAGGCTCAATACCTGTCACTGGCAGCGAGAAACGTCGCCGAGGTACTCAGCTGGGCAGACTTCACCGGACACGAGTACAGCGAGGCCTTGTGCGCGCGGGCGCTGGTTGCGTGGGGAGAGCAGCATCTTCTGCGCTTCGTCTCACGACCTTCTCAAAGCCGTCGAACGCACGGACCCGCACAGGTGACGTCGCTCACGTACCGCACGGGCGAGAAAAGGGCCACAGCTGCACATGAATGGCCACTGAGGAGGGTCCGAGAGCGGTCGGACCACGGGAACGCGCAAGCGTCGGAGAAAGGAAAAAGGAGTGAGCGAGTCTCATCCAAGCACCGCTCCCACGGCTTTCAGACCTCGAGTCAGCTCTTCTGCCAGCCATCGCTGCTTGCAGCACCTCCCTACCGAGCGAGGCCACCAACGCGACAAGGGGACGCTCAGCCTTCGCTGCACACGGCCTTCATCCCGACCGCGCCCAAGCCCAAACCCTCTGCCATCTCGCCGCTGCTCACTCAGTCGGAGCGGCGCAGCACCGATACGCCGCTGCCGCCCTCGAGGAGTGACGTGTCAGATCCAAGCGTCGTGAGGTGGCGTAGACAGCCCCTGAGGATGCGGTTCTGGCGGGTACCTCCGCGCCGCGCCGCAGCGCAGGCCGGTCGAGGCATCACACACGAAGCAGCGCCAGTCCCGTGGGATGCTCGGTCTGGCGACCTGCGTGACTGTGTGGGAAAGATGACCGCGAGCGAGTGAGGCGTGGGAAGGCAGAGGAGAGGAGGCGGGTCGTGCGGTTGTGCGAGCGCTCAAGCCTCCCTGTCTTCAGTGCGCCCGCAGCTGCTCAAGGCCGGCGACCGTCAAGGCACAACTAGGCGAGAACGCTGGGCGAAATGTCGGCTCTCGACCAGGGACTGCAGGGATGGGAACGACTTGTACACGATGCAGAGAGACTCGCTGGCTGCCGCACGGCGATGACGATGATGAGCGGACAGGGAGAGAGACACGCGAGGAGAAGAACCGATAAGAGCGCGAGAGAAAGTAAAACGAGAGATGCCCGAGGAAAGGAGCGATAGGCGACGCGGGAGGGTCCTTTTGAGAGGAGGTCTAAGGAGGGCTGCGAGTGCGCGGCGAGACGACAACGAGGCGAACGGGGAGGGTATACTCTAGAAGGGCAGTGACTAGGTGCAGCAGCATCTACTGCGGGCACATGCCGTCGTCTACACGGGAAGAGGTGGAACAGGCGGTCAGCGCGTCGACCTCGAGAGGGCAGGCACACGACGACGAGAGGGAGACGCACAGAACTCCTTGCCGCTCTTGGTCGCCGAGATGATGCCCTTGCGGATGACAAAGTCGCCAAAGTGCTCGCCGTCGAGGCGCTCCTGGGCGTAGGCCTTGATCATCGGGCGCAGGATCGTCAGGATGTCGTCCTCGCTGACGGCCTCGCGGTAAATTTTGTTCAACCTGCGGGGCGCACGCACGACGAGTCAGCTTCGCGCACACGTGCCCAACGAGAGAGGAAAGGGAAGAGGGACGAACCGCTGGCCATGGTAGCCACCACCGAGGAGCATGAGGTACGACCCTGGCGCCTTGCCGACGAAGGCGATCTCGGCAGCCCAAGGACGCGCGCAGCCGTTGGGGCAGCCCGTCATGCGCATCGTGATCGAGTCGTTGCGGAGACCCTCCTCCTCCATGATCTTCTCGACCTTCTCGATGAGGAGCGGCAAGTAGCGCTCCGACTCGGCCATGGCCAGGCCGCACGTCGGGAGCGACACGCACGCCGCCGACGACAGGCGCAGGCCCGAGAAGTCGACAGAGTCGAGGTGGTGCTTCTCGAGGAGCGCCTGGATCGTCTTCTCGTCTTCGGGCGCGACGTCGGCGATGATGAGGTGCTGGTTGGCCGTCAGGCGGAACACACCCTTGTGCACCTTGGCGATCTCGCGCAGCGCCGTCTTGAACGGCTTGCCCGGCTCGTCCTGGACGCGACCGTTCTCGACAAAGGCCGTGAAGTGACGGCGACCGTCCTCGCCCGTCTGCCAGCCAAAGTGGTCGACGTTCGACGTGAACTCGTACGGGCGCGCGGGCTGGAGCTTGTACCCGAGGCGCTTCTCGACCTCGGCGACAAAGTTGTCGACGCCCATGCGGTCGACCGTGTACTTGACGCGCGCGTTCTTGCGGTTGGCGCGGTTGCCGTTGTCGCGCTGGGTCGTGAGGACCGCCTTGGCCACCTCGAGGCCCTGGTCGGGCGTGCAGAAGCCGACGACATCGGCGAGACGCGGGTAGGTCGACTTCATCGAGCTGCGGGTGCGAGCGAGGGGTGTCGTCAGCCAGACGCTCTCACTCGAGCGAGAGAGAGAAACAGTGAGACGCACTGGGTCACACCCATGCCGCCGCCGACGGTCACGTTGAAGCCGAGGAGCTTCTTGTTCTCGTCGAGGATGGCGATGTAGCCGAGGTCGTGGCAGAAGACGTCGACGTCGTTGTACGGCGGGACGGCGATCGCAATCTTGAACTTGCGCGGGAGGTAGTACTCGCCGTACAAGGGCTCAAAGTCCTTGACTGCGCCGTCAAAGACGGGCTTCTGGTCGAGCCAGATCTCGCAATACGCCGACGTCTGCGGCTTGAGGTTGTCCGAGAGCTCCTTGGCGAACCCGAACACCTGCGAGTGCACCTTGCCGAGCGACGGGTTGGCCGAGCACATCTGTGGCGACGGGCGGGCGAGGGAGCGAGCCGTCAGCAATGGGTCTCTTGCCAACCGGCGACAGGAGGAGGAGAGAGAGAGAGACGCACGACGGTGCGGTTGACGTCTCCGCAGGCGGCGATCGTGTCGAGCATGCACTTGTTGATCTCCTGCATGGCGGGCTTCAGGTTGGCCTTGACAATGCCGTGGAATTGGAACGTCTGTCGCGTCGTGAGCTTGAACGTGTGGTTGCCGCGCTGGTCGGCAATCTCGTC